AGTGGTACGCCTGTCGTACGATCGTATGGGACCCGGATATGCGGGTTTCACCCAATTTTGGGTTAATCGTAAATGCCAAAGCCCGAGGCATCATTATTGCGCCATAATCACAGATCGTTCACCGATCCAGGACCTGATCATTGTTCGGATCACGTTTTGTTCTGCCCGTGACATCATACATATATGACCCTAAATATGTTTTGAATAATTAGTCGATTGAACACCCAATATCACTCCATTCCTCATAATGTTATTGTGTTCAGAGTTGATTTACACAATGATTTATGTAGCAAGAACATTTTTATACAAATTAATCTAAATTTATTTCAATGCTCATTATAAGAATTCATTGTGAAAAGCTCGTTATACCTCCATTCATATTGGTTTTTTTTTTTATTTTATTTTTATATCGGTATTTAATGAATATTATCGATTTGTAATTTATTTCAGTCCAGGGACTTATCAAGCGCCCGGTAGAGTTATTCACGTAGCACATTCTTTTATTAAATTTTCAATTAATATATGTAGTTGCTTTTACTGGTAGTGCTGTAATACGAATTTTTGGCCATAGGAATTAAGACACTTGATATACGTATTTATGAGTGTAGTTGACGTTTTCATATCTAGTTGTACAAAAAGAATAAAAAAAGTCATTATATCCAATTTGAAGATTATGATATTATGAGTAATATGGAAAAATAGGTTTAAAAGCGTTTAACTGAAACTTTTCTGAAAGATAATTATAAAGATCTATATAATTGCAATTCATCTTTTGAAATCGATATCACTTTTTCTCCAATTGAAAAACTATTAAAATATGTGTGCTCCAGCCCACAACATTACTATTCATGTTTCAATCAACACATAAGAAGAAATGATTATTTTAAATGTTAGAGGCTAAAAGGTAAGGTACTGTATGAAGCATAATAATAATTTTACTATATTTTTACATAACACATTATTTTGAATTAAAAGCTAAATGCACATCATTTTGGGACGCACATAGGCATTATCTTTAAGCCATGCATGTTATTTTCAGGTTATACGATTTTTAAAATAACACTCATGGGTGTTACTGTTTGAAAAATGTAAATATTTTTTATTTAAGTATATAATATTTATATATTATATATATAAATATATTTATTATTATTAACTAGTATGAATAATCTTGAAGCGCAACCAGAAATTTTACTTGGAATGATGTTTCAAGATCGAAATAAATGCATGAAACATCCAATTAATGGAAACGAATAGTTTTTTTAATCGTACTAGTGAAGCATTTCATTACATGATAGAATTCTATCAAACTGGAAAACTTAGCCTACTAAATCTAAAAAAGTTACTTGCAAGCAACTTGAAGAAGAAATTTATTTTCAAATTCCTTTTAATAAGTCGATAGTACTCTGTTCATCTGCTTTAGAAACTGTTAAAAATGATGTTGATAATCTCATTTTGGCTTTTGAAGAATTGATCATTCATAGTTGTAATTAAAAATTAAATGCAATAGTATTGTATAATTGAGTCGGATAAGTATACATTATCCTTATTCAGAATGTTTACAAAAGTTTAGTTCATTTGATTTTATGACATATAAATTTTCTACTTGATATAATAAGATTATTTAGTTAAAATATTTTCCGATTTAGAGCTAGAATAGGATGCAATCAATCTCAAAATATTATATGTATATATCACTATCTCTTTTTCATATGAAAATGTTAAATAAAAAGTAAAAAAATAAAAATAAAAATTTATTCTCAGCTATTTTACAACGCATATTTTTGCATTATATTAAGAATTTTATAAGTATCCTTATAATTAAACAGTTATTTACTTTCTTATTTTTATAAATTTCAAGGCATGTTAAAAGTAAAGCTATCTCTGTTTCCACAAAGGAATAATCTTGGTTTATATGGACTATTTTTTGTAAAAACATAAGGTAAATGAAGGTATTTTAACGAAGTTACCACTTCTTACTAAATAAAAGTCTGTTAAAAACTTGAAGTTTTATTTTTTTGTTTTTGAACTATGTAAATTTGAATCTGCTTTACAATAT